GTAACCGAGTTGCGGGCAGTAAAAAGCCATTAGTAGTTTTATAATTTTTTTATTTCTCGTAATCTGTCTATTTTTTTCATCCTTACCAGTAGAGACACTTTGACATTTTGTATTTCCCTAAGTGATGATGTAATTTGTTCATAATTAAATGGCTCTTGTGAACGGCTCTATGAAACAAATGGCTCCTCAAGATTTGGATCCCTTCAAAGAGCCATTTATTCCATCTCTAGTAGGTGAGAGTTAGTGTGGTTAGTTAGTGGTTGTTTGTCTCCATGTAACCGTGTGATGGACTTGCGACCTGTCCAGGGTGTTCCTCTCACACAGTAACTGCTAGACATGGGCATGGAGCAGCTTTACGAGGAACTGGAACTAGAATTGGAACTGAGAGCCAGGCCTTCTCATCCAGTCTGAACCCTCTACACAATCTATAGACCCAGATTTTTACAGAAAMACTCTAAAATCTTGTGTAAAACCCTCAAATAGGAGTAGATGCTGTTGTGCCTGTTGGTGTGATGGGTATTTGTGGCCAAACATATAGTGGACATCAAGAATGATTTTTTTTAGAATAGGAAGACAATATAAAAATGACCGCTAGTCTTCGTGTCTGAAGCTTCATGCAAGAAGGTAAAGATGGTCATAAGGAAGGTGAGGGATCAGACCACAGTTAAATAGCAGGAGCTTGTAATTCTGAACAATCTGAAAGCACCTGGGAGCACAATCAAGAACACAGTTGATAATGCTTTACACTATAATCTCTCTCTCTCAGGTCCCATCTTGTCCACATCTGCAGTATGTTCACCAGTAAATGTAATTGGTTTTCCATTTTATTTGCTGATTTGAAGAGGAGCAAAGATTGATTTATAATAATTTGCAAATCAATTTTTAACTTTTAAAACGTGTATTTTTGTAGTTTTTTGTAGGTTTTTTTTTTTACATTTTGGTCTTTTCTGAGTTGTAATATGTGCCCAATCACATCAAACTGAGAATTAAGTCAAATTTGGTCAAAATGATCTGAGCTCATTTTCAGATTCCAGAATTTTTAAGATACTTTTTTTTTTTTGCCTCATCTTGATATCATGAGCAGTTCCAGCTTGATTTGTCATCCTAATCATGATAACTCATCAATATTCAATTGGAATCATACTTTTAAGTTATTATAAAGAGGAATTTTTGATGTCATATTAAAGAGGCAACATCAAATTTAGATGTTAAGATTTCTCAGCTGGAAAGAAAAAAGCTGCTTACTCGAAGGGAAAATTAAAATTTTATGGCATTTTTGCTCAAAAATCAGGTTTTTGTTGCTACTGCTCAAAAAAGTGCTTCAAAAAATATTAAAGATTAGATTTCAATTATTTAATTCAAAGGATCCACTGATATTTATTCATTATACTTTGAAAAAATGCAATTATTGTGACTTCCCWGGTTTGACGTGAGGGGTCACTTACACTGTATGTCAATGGTTCAAAAAGTAAAAAGGCAGTAGGATGAAGAGTATAAGGAAATAATTGAGGAYAAAGTCATAGCTGGAAAAAATAAGCATGATTTGTTTTTTTCAGAAAGTTCCTCATGCTGCTTGATAATTATCCCAAGTTGTGTTTTGGTTGTGAAAATGTTAAACCTGTCACACTGAACGACCGCAAACCACTGGTTCCAGCTCTGGTCAATAATGGTTTATGATGGTGAACCCATCATAAAAGGAMCAAGCCTGTTAATGTTAGATTTTCAATTATCTCTGCTACTAGAAGCACTTGGTTAAACACAGTCACGCTGACTATTCAGGTTTCAAACACAATGGGAATTTTGTTATGATGAACACTGTTCAAATACAGAAAAAAAGCAGCTTTCTGGTACTTTTTAATCTTTTATTAAAATGCATTTTGTACAACCTTTATTTACAGGGTCACCAAAAGATATGGTATCAAAATGGACAAGAAATAAAGTACGTTTCAGGACTATATGGTGCCTGTTCAGTGACATTGGATAAAAAAATCTCATTACTATGCAATCCTTTTTGTTTTAAACTGTTCAAACGTAGCCAACATGTTATTTGGTTATTATAAACCTGTGGTGTCCTGCATGTCTTAGGTGCTGCCCTGGTTCAACACAGCTTAACCTAGGGAGAGCCTAAGGCTTCCTCAGTATGCCATCAAGGTTTGCAGAGGCCTACTAATTAGGCACTCCTTAGGTTCAGCTGTGTTGAACCAGGGCAGCACYKAAGACATGTAGGACACTGGCCCTTGAGGACTGACTTTGGACACCACTGTTACACATCTCCAACTCCTTCCGCAGCCAAGGCTGGTTGTGTGAGAGTAGCCTGTTTTGAGTGTTGAGCTTAAAATATAGGAAAATAACGCTTTTTGGACAAACACAACTCCTTTGTACAACGTGTGTTTTATAGCGGCAACATATAATACTAAGAATTATTTCATGCCTAAGTGACTGAAGTGYGTTATTCATTCCTATATTAAAACAAAATTAAAACTCAATTTACACTTTCCATGTTAATTGACAATCTATAAATAGAAATGCCTGCAATAATTATCTTGTTGGGATTGGAGTAAAAATTCAATGTCACCGAACTGGTGCCAAAGGACTACACTGTTGGTCCTGCAAAAAWAAAAAAAAKGAAACAAGAAATTCACATTTCTCATTTATTTACAGTATTAGAAAGGTGAAAAAAAGTGAAGACACACTTTGAACATTAGATATCAACATAGTCCTGTAAAAACACTTTATGACCACAAATGGAGGAAATGAGATTTTAGGAGAATGCTAACGTGGGCCTACTTACCAAAAGCCAGATGAGAATAATTAAATAACTTAGGCTGATGGTATGATATGAAACCAGTCGAGATGCCTTAAGGTGTAATGAGTATCCAACTTTGCAAATGCTCAATTCCTGGTTCTCACTCTTAACACCCTGCAATGGCTTCAGTACATTCTGAAAAGCAAAAAACAAAACAAAAAAAAACCCTTCTTTTTGACAGAAAACCAACTTCCCAACATGTCAGACCATACTGAATCTTTTGGGTGGCTGTTTAGGGTTTTTTCACCCCAAGTGTTTTGCAGAATCAAAAATCAATAACTGGAAACAGGAAACAACAGTTCTCTGCAGTGAAATGATAAAACTAAAACTGAAGTTTCTAAAACCTTGAAAGACAATGTTCCAGAAATAGGTGCAAACAAATAAATCACAAAATTTAAGATTTATTCTTTTCTTTCTTCTTCTTCTTCTTTTTCTCCTTCTTTTTCTTTTTGGAATGCTTTAGTTCAGGTGATTTGTCACCATGGCTGCTGTCACTGCTGCCACTTTCATCATCATCGCTGCCGTTTCTGGAGGATTTATTCCAGTCTTTGTCTTCAGTTTTGATTTTTCCATGCCCCATGATGGGCAGCTCCTTCCTCTCCTCCTTGGTTCTAATGGTTTGAGGTGGAGGCGTCAGTCCACGGTTCACAGTAATCAGCATCCTTTCCTTTTTTAATTCTTCCTTCAAGCTAATGTTTTGCTGCCCGGTCCTGCCGTCTTTGTGATCTTTCTCATCCCTCCTGTTCTGTTGGAGGTCTCTGCCATTCCTGTAACCTCCTGAATCTTTATGGTGACTGTAGCTGCTGTGATCTCTCCTCTCAGAAGAGTGGGATTGTTGACTGCTGGTGCGGCTGTGGTGATGCGAGCTTCCTTCTTTGTCTTTAGGATGCTTGTCCAACTTCTGTTTCTGCATCAACCAAGTGGTGTGGGGGGGG